TGAAGTAAATGCCACCATCCAGGCTGAACTTTCTTCCTTCCTTTATCCTGCATTCCTGGCAGCCAGAGTTCTTTGTAATTATTTATTGTAGATGATGAAATTTGTAACTCAGTGGGGCAATCGTGGCTTTGGTAATGGAATAAAAGTAAATCCAGATTTGAAAGTTCTGAGCTGTAGTCCTGTCTGTCTTGAATTATCACTTAATTTGAGATGTAAAGAAGTTAAAATGGGCCGAAACCGGTCTGGCTCAGTGGATAGAGTGTCAGCCTGCGGACTGAAAGGTCCCGGGTTCGATTCCGGTCAAGGGCATGTACCTGGGTTGCGGGCACATCCCCAGTAGGAGATGTGCAGGAGGCAGCTGATCAATGTTTCTCTCTCATCGATCTTTCTAACTCTCTATCTCTCTCCCTTCCTCTCTGTAAAAAATGAATAAAATATATTTTTAACAACAACAAAAAAAAGGAGTTAAAATGGAACTTTGCCTGTTAGTATTTGCTGGGATTTATTCTTATACCTTTGATGGTAGATGTTAGTTTACATATCCTGTATAATAAAAGGCTAATATGCAAATTGACCAAACGGCAGAACGACCGGCTGCTGTGATGTGCACTGACCACCAGGGGGCAGATGCTCAACGCAGGAGCTTCCTCCTGGTGGTCAATGCGCTCCCACATGGGGAGTGCCACTCAGCCAGAAGCTGGGCTCATGGCTGGCAAGTGCAGCAGCGGTGGCGGGAACTTCTCCCGCCTCCACAGCAGCGCTAAGGATGTCCAACTGCTGCGGGGAGCAGGCCTAAACCATCAGTCGGACATCCCCAAGGGCACCCCCCCATTGCATGAATTTTGTGCACCGGGCCTCTAGTTCAATCATAATTAAATACTAATAATTGAAATCATTTTCACATCTGGCTTTTTAAAAAAAAATATTTTTATTCATTTCAGAGAGGTAGGGAGAGATAGAAACATCAATGATGAGAGAGAATCGATCAGCTGCTTCCTGCATGCCCCTTCTGGCGATCAAGCCCACAACCGGAGCATGTGCCCTTGACCAGAATCGAACCCAGGACCCTTCAGTCCAAAGGCCAACGCTCTATCCACTGAAACAAACCAGCTAGGGCCTGGCTTTTTAAAAAGTAGCTCTGAGTAACTAAATAGGAGAGATTACTAACTGTCAACTTTGTGTTTCCAAGTATGCCATTACTAAACTTGTCTTTTCTTTTAAAATGTGGAAGTGTTGGTACATAAGAATAGAGAAAAAGTACCTTCGTCTTGGATTACATCCAACAAGGTTCTGAATAGCTGGGACTCCACTGTGTGGGCAGAAACCTGAAAAGGTCCTCCCTCCCTTCTTTCTTTCCTTCCTTCCTTCCTTCCTTCCTTCCTTCCTTCCTTCCTTCCTTCCTCTCTCCCTTCCTCCCTCCCTCCCTCCCTCCCTCCCTCCCTCCCTCCCTCCCTCCCTTTCAGAGCTTATGCATAGAAAATTTTAAATGAGTTTTTCCATTAAATATTCTCTCTAGGTGTGTGCCAAAATTCATTTATTTTGAAACTTGATTTAATACTTTATTTCTTTTTAAAAGCTATGTGCCATTTTCTCTACTAGATTTTGAGTAAAAAACAAATTTTTGTTGTTCGGAAAACGGCTAAGCTGATTCAGTTAGAATCTTTTAAACACATAATCTCGGACTTGTAATAAATGAACCTTAGTTGGGAGAGACTTTTTCTAGCCTGCGAGATGAAATGATGAGATTGTCATGGAAATGTATGCATTTTCTCCACTGGCCGTTACTGATGGTGAATGAGTGCAAACACCGGTCTAGAGAGTCAGAGCATCCTCGTTCCTGTAAAATTCATGATCTGTTTTCCTTAGGGTGCGAGGGTCCCCCCCTTATAAATCCTTTCTTTTTCTCTCCAGTTCTATTTGTAGAATTAAAGTGGTCACTTTCACTCCCTGAGAGCTCATTGGTTTTGTAGCTTCTGAAGCATCTCCCAGGTTCCGAGGACTATGCTGAGGCTAAAGGGAGTTACCTGGAGTCTGTTCCTGTGGAGACCAGGTGCCCGTGCTCTGGAGGGCACGTCCTGGGCTGTAGGTCACTGCCTTTCGCAATCCCTTGGTCTCTCGTCAGTATGCTAGGACTCCAGCTGTTGCGTGACTCCGCCCTGCTGTCCCCAATCTCTTGTTTGGGAAGTTGTTAGACAGGTGACGTTTGAGCAGAAAATATGTTTGCGTGCTCTGTAAGTTACCTTTAGACATAATGAAAGATATCTTCATCTTGCCCAGGAACAAGGCGCCTGTCTGACCTGTTGCTGAATAACAGGAGAGCCAAGCAAAGTTTTATATGTGGCACCGTGATAAAAGCAACTCTTTTAATGGGTTACCCCTGTACAGTCCACTGGTAGAAAAGGAGGGCTTTTGGTGTATATAGGCTTCTGGCTGTGGTTGATTTTTTTATTATTATCTTTAGTCCTCACCTGAGGATATGTTGTTATTGATTTTAGAGAGCGAGAGAGAGAAATATCAGTGTGAGAGAGAAATATTGATCAGTTGCCTCCCATATGTGCCCTGACCAGGAATCAAACCCGTAACTTTTTGTGTACAGCACAACACTCCAACCAACTGAGCCACCCAGCCAGGGCTGTGGTTGTTTTGTTTGTCTGTTGTTTCCTGTGGTAACTCACACAGATCTGTAATTGCTTTCCTAAAGTGGATAATAAAACTAGAATTTTTTTTTACATTCACTATACTGGTAGCATTGGCAGAATTTATAGATAATGATAACCAGCCTTTAGTTTTCTTTAAACTTTTTGACATAATTTCAGACCTGCAGAAGAGTTGTAAGAATTCCTATATACTTTCACCCAGATTTCTCAAATGTTAACTTTTGCTTTATTCTTCTCTCATGTTCTCTCTCTCTCTCTCTCTCTCTCTCTCTCTCTCTCACACACACACACACACACACATCTGTGTGTGTGTATATATATACTTATTTTACTTATTTTTTAAAAGTGCTTGAGAGTAAATTGCAGTCATCCCTCCTTTGGTGTGTATTTCCTAAAATCAAGGACAACTTCTTACATAACCCACAGTGCCAGGATCAAAAATCAGAAATTAGCATTGGTATGATGCTGTTAGCGAAACTGTAGTCCCCATTCACATTTGTCAGTTGTCTTTATAATGTTCTTTATATGAAAGAAAATCCCAGATCATGTGCTGCATTCAGTTGTCTTATCTTTTTAGTCGAACAGTTGTTCAGACTACTTATTGTGTAGAATGTCCTTCTGTGGCTTCAAGTTGGAATGCTTCATTTTCCCAAAGTATTGAGCCTCCCTAATTATGAAACTGGGAATAAGGACTAAGATGGCTAAGTGGAGATGGGGAAGGGACACCGTAGCCAGATCTGCTGGGAAGCCTGGCAGAGTGGAGTGGGCATGATCGCTGGCAGCTGCCATGGAAGGATGCAGCGAGATCCAGTCTCTCAGTTGAGCACCGCGTTTATAGGCGTGGCAGATGCTCCGTGTTTCATAATCTGCTCCCTCTCTGTTTGGTTCAAAGCTGTAGCTTAGTGACCAACAATAGATGGAGGTTTCTCTGACATGTGTATTATGTTATATCCTCCCCCTCCACCACCAACACACACACACACACACACACACACACACACACGGGCTTTTTATATCTTGTTTCATGGCAGATCCACTGGCCTCTGCCTGTGCTGTTGTAACAGTGTCTCAGATGGAATGCCCCTTTTCCTTAGTTATGTTAGTTACGTAGCCACACTAGGGAAATGAAAGCACAGTGGCTTCCAGTGAGACCTGCAGTCAGACTGTCTAGATGGGATTCCTGCCCCCTCTCTTTACTACTAGCCGTGTGACCTTGGGCCACTAGCTCAGCTTGGCTGAATCCAGTACAGGGGACTTTTGTGAAGATGAAATATGACTTATTACTAACTACAAATTTGAAAATAATAAAGCTGGCATTTATTGGGTGCTTACTATGTGCCAGTGCTGTGCTATGCTTTATAAAACATTGTTGATTGTGATATGCTTATTTTCCTTCCTCAAACTCTAGCCCCCGTAAGATAAGACGCAACATGTGTGCCCTAGCCGGTTTGGCTCAGTGGACAGAGCGTCGGGCCTGCGGACTGAAGGGTCCCAGGTTCGATTCCAGCCAAGGGCACATGCCCAGGTTGTGGACTTGATTCCCTCCCCAGTCGGGGGCATGCAAGAGGCAGCCAATCAATGATTGTCTCTCGATGTTTCTACCTACCTTCCTCTCTGAAATCAATAAAAAATATATTAAAAAGAAAAAAGAAGTAATGTGCAATGCCAGTATTTCTGATTAAAGTCTTGAAACTTTCCTGTCGGGCAGATTGAAAGATTAGCAGTAGCAGAGGTTTTCAATCACTGCTGCATCAGATCAGTTTTCTCCTGTTGCTGATCCAACATCTCTTTCTTTGGGAATGGGGTCTGTTGGGAATTTTTACTGGCTCGGTGCTGATTTCAGATCCTAGATATTAAGGAAATGGGAGTGGCGACAGGAAATGGGAGCCAGCAGCTGGGAAACAAGTTTGTAACTTGATGTCAGTGAACTGGTCTTCGCTCCTGTAAGACAAAATTACATGTAACTCGTTGGAAGAGCAGGTGTCTCACCATTTTGTTTAAGTTTTTCCATTCGTGGGTGCATGATATACAGCTGTTCAGAGCTATAACATTTTCCACTTGGCAGTTAACCCAGTAAGCATTTTATTTTTAAAGTATGACATGGTGTTCAAAAATTTTAAGTGCCCTACTTAAAGATTTGACATAAGCTATAAGTCTGTAAATTGTTTAACTTAATCCTATAAGCTCTTATGGGCAGATCCATTTTATCTCCATTTTTTTTCTCTTCTATTTAGACGTGCTTTTGAACATAACCCCGTGTACAAGATAGTGCACTATCTATTTGATTAGCTAATGTTGTTTTAAAGCTCTAATGATTTTCAAGGGAGTCTTACTTCTGATTACTCTTGTGTATTTAAGCCAGTGAAGAAAAAGAAGATAAAACGAGAGGTTAAGATTCTGGAGAACCTTCGTGGTGGAACAAATATCATTAAGCTGATTGACACTGTGAAGGACCCTGTGGTAGGTGCCTGATGGTTGGGGGAGAGGGAGAGAGAGAGAGAGTGTGTGTGTGTGTGTGTGTGTGTGTGTGAGAGAGAGAGAGAGAGAGAGAGAGAGAGAGAGAGAGAGTGTGTGTGTGTGTGTGTGTGTGTGTGTGTGTGTGAGAGAGAGAGAGAGAGAGAGAGACCCTAAAATACTGAGAAATATTATATAGTGAGGATGATTGTGTTTGTCTTTTCTACTGAATGATTTTGAAAACCAGAAAAAAAATCATGGTGGCCCAATGTGCAAATAGCCACCACCACTTCCATAGAACCTAACCTGTCTGCTAGATAGGCAAATCCCTGCCTAGGTGTATTACCTCATTATCCTGATTCAGCTTACAGATGTTTGCTGACTATCTCCTTTAAGACCCTGCTTTTCTCCCAGTTTTGAAACTTATTCCTACCAATCAGCATTATTTTACCTTCTGTTGAAAATCTGGGGTCACAGAAGGAAGAACTGAGAATCTCCACGTGGACACCTGGCGTAGAGAGCTGAGCAGGTCCCGGGCCCACTGACCTTCCAGGAGGCGAGCTTGCTGGTTCTCATGCTGGTCTTGAATTCAGCATCCACTGTTAGGGGCCACATTGTATATCCAGAAACATCTGAAATAGTTTGTTAAAATGCTTAATTTTGAGCCATTTTAGTAGAGCTGTTTACTTTTTTGTCTCTTCCCAGGAGTGACTTAACCTTTTGTCTCTTCCCAGGAGTGACTTAACCTTTATGATTAAGGCTTTTTTGGTATCGCTTCCCATCCCATTTCTGTTCTTCACCTGCTATACCTCAGATATGTCCGTTCTCCCATGATAGCTTGTGTTTATTGTCTTTGCTTCTACCGGCTAAAGACATCCTCATAATAATGTGGTAGCTAACATGTGTGTGCCAGCACTGTTCTGAGTGTTTAACTATCTCATCCTGTAATCCTCACAGCAGTCCAGTGGGGGTAGGTGCTGTTGTCTGCATTGTCACACTGTGCAGATAAGAAAACTGAAGTCTACAGAGGTTAAGTAATTTGCCCAAAATTGCACAGGGCTGCTGACCTGAAGAATAAGGAAAGTTTTTACTTTGGTCCCTGAAAAGACTGAGAAGGATGGTCATATTCTAGACCCCATCTAATTGGCACAATATATCCCCGCCTGATCAGCTCAGATTGATTCTGCAGTGACACGGAGCTTGGTGATAGCTGTCTCACTGCTTTTGTAATCTGTTACTGAAAGTGTGTGTGTGTGTTACACATATGTAACCAGTAATTGAAGTGGACGAAACAACCAGGGAACCCTCTCCCTCACCTGTAGAGAGGTCTGGTGGTGAAACCCTCAGCGTGGGCTAGTGGGGACCCTTTGGCCGGGACTGCCGCTCATCCTGGCAAAGGCCCGTGTCCGTGCACTGGCCTGTCACCTAGGTAACTTTCATCTGCTTCCTTTGGCAAAACTTTCCGGCTGGAAAGATTTCTCGGATGATTGTTTCTTCCTATAATGCTCTTAAGCCCCTGCTTTTCTCCCAATTTCGAAAGCTTATTACTGCCAATTCGCATTATTTTACCTCACTTAAGTAAACTAGACATTTGAAAATCTGTTTACAACAAGGAAATATTGACTATTTTGTATTCATTGCATCAAAGATTATAGTGCTTTAAAAATACTTGAGGAAGTAATTTCACATTGTGGCTTACTGATAATTATAGATAATTTCCTTTCGGATCCTGAAAAGACCTGTGCTAGAGCCCCAAGACCTATGATAATTCTATAAAATGCGTCTGGCTCGCTAAACCAAGATGAAAACATGTCGCTCCTTTCGTAGTTGGCAAACTGAAACCTCAAGAGTATAAATCTTCGCATTAACGTGCCAGGCCCGGTGGACAGGTTGGTCAGAGAATGTGCCCCTTTTAAAAACAAACAAAGAAACAAACAGAACTTTATTATGAAAAATTCCACCATTTACAAAAGTAAAGTGAGTAATATCATGAACCTGCCTGCACACAGCACTCAGTTTTAGCACTAAGTCAGCTCCTGGCCAACTTCGTTTCGTCCATACCCCGCCCACTTCCCCACCCTCCCATTGCCCACCATCCTGTTATTTTGAAGCAAATTCCAGGCATAAAATTTCAAGAGGATACTTTCTTGCTAGTCTCTCCCTGGGGGGTGAATCCTTTTCATCTAAGTGGGATTTGAGGATGGGCTGTACGACAGAAGAAACTACATTTATTGTTTGAATATTTAATAATTTATATTTTTTTCTTGCAGTCAAAGACACCAGCTTTGGTATTTGAATATATCAATAATACAGATTTTAAGGTACGTACTTTTTCTTTCTGCTTGCAGGGGTTTTGGGGGTGGGTGGTGGCAATAAGAACTGCTGATACTCTAGAACACGAGGGCAGAAAGGTCATTGGTGAGAGCAGGAAATCACACATTGGATTCCTTCTGGCATGACTCCAGGATGCAGACAGTGGTTAGAGCTCTCGCATTTGGTGTAGTTACTCATCACCCTTTGCCTCGCTTGCTCTGGGAATAGCTGCTGGGCTGGGTCTGAGCTAATGCTTCCACTCCTCTTTGAGATGACAGCTTTAGGTAGATGTTACCTTTGATTTTCTTAGGAATCTTACTTACATTGCTGATAGGAAGTGATGAGTGGATGCAGGGCTTGTGAAAAGAAGCAATACATTGGATTCAGACTCTCAGATGGTGTGTGTTCATGCACACTGTATACAGAGCAGATGGCGCAGAAAAGCCCTGCCCTGGTTATTTACGTTTCTTTTTTCTTTTTCTTTCTTTCTTTTTTTTTTTTTTGCATTTGCACATTTTATTAAGATACCCGACTCTTAAATTATTTCTTTAACTGGAAGCATCTCTGGAGAGAACATGCACCATCTGTAGGCATTTAAAAAGATACTCATTTTCCCTCTCCTGGACTTGAGCGCCCAGCCCCCCAGTTCACCAGCAGGAAGCGCTAAAGCCCCAGCCTTTGCCTTGGGGCGGGGGGGGGGGGGGGGCACGCAGGGGAGGGGTGCAGCAGTCCCTACCCCCTGGGTCCATTCAGGTCCGGGTGCTCCCAGACACCTCGGGGGCTCCTGGGGCATCTGTGCCAGGCAGCCTCGTACAGTTCTTATATTTATATTAATTTGGGCTATGATGTGTTCTTCAAAAGCAGAGTATTAAGCCGGTTTTTCATGAATTTGTTTTTAGTGTTTTCCAAACACCGAAACCTTAACTCATGTCAAGGTTTGGGGGCCAGGCATGCTGGACATAGTAGAGCACAATATGAAAACCAATATGAGAAGAGAAAGTTTTTTAAAAATCAAAAGCGGTGTTGATTTTAGGGGCATTTAGAGATTTTTCAGTGATTACAACTCTGCCAGTGAATAAAAGCTTGTGGTTTTGTTGGGATGGAAGTTAGGGACATCAAATCAGCAGTTGAAATACGCTGTCAGGAGTGATGCTTTGGGGTGAAAATAAAAGAACCTTACCTTCGCACTTAGTTTTTCTTAGGTAATCACTCTAAAAGGGCTCTGAAGTTAATCAGTGAACAATAAGCACTTATAAAACAATAAGCAAGTTTTATATACAGTGTTGCATTCCTCATATGTAACAAGTTTCCTTGTGACTCCAATAGTGAACTCTAAAAAGTGGGGTATACATTTTTTTCATTAATTTGCTATGAGTGACCCTGGTTTATCAAGGTGTGTGTGTGTGTGTGTGTGTGTGTGTGTGTGTGTGTGTGTGTGTTTCTGAAGAAATAAACAGGCTTTCATGAAGCCAAACATCTTTCTAATGCAAACATTTCAAAGCCAATCTTCATGGAGCTTCATATTAAAATCCCTTAGTTTTAAATGCCTCTGCTTCCTAATGAGTTCTTACCAGCTGTCCAGCCACATGTAAAATTTCACTTCAGCATTTGTGTTTCTTGAATTGCCAGGTGGATTTGACAACTGGCAGAAGGTCAGTGTTTAATTCCCTAGAGAAATCTGACTTCTTACAAAGGGGATGTTTGGATGGGATACATTGTCTAGGAGCTTTTTCAAAAAGGATCATGGGATTTTAATGTTTTTAGAGGCTTGCGTATCTGAAAACATCTTTATTTTATCCTCCCAACTAACGTATTTTCCACAGTTTAGAATTCTAGGTTGTAATTAATAATTTCCTCAGCCTTTTGAAGAGATTGTTCTGCTCTTACCACTGAAGCCATTGTGGTTTCGTCGTCTGTGATTGTCTCTTGTTTTTCTCTGGAAGCCTGCAGGGTCTCCCTTCCTGCCCAGGCTCTGAAGCTGCCCCGTGACATGCTTTTATATGGGTCGCTTTCATCCTTCGTTTTGGATACTAACTGGGCGTTTTCAATCTAGAAACTCGTGTCCTTCTGTTTCAGAAAAGTATTTTTCATGTTCTTTGATTTTCTTCCCTTCTTTGTTCTCACTTTCTCAAACTCATTCGGATGTTAGACTTCCTATCGTAGAGCTCTGTTTTGTTCTCCGGACCTTTTAAAATAGTATCCTGTTCTTTTATGTTTTATGTAATATCTTCTATTTTCTCACTGAGAAAATGTGTCTTTTCCCCCCATTATGTTTTCTTCATGCCTTTTCTCTGGTTTTCAAATTCTTTTTTTTTGGTGAGTTTCTATGCTCATACATGTATCTGAAATGTCATGGAGTTTTTGTGTGTGTGTTTTTTTTTAAGATGTGTTTATTGATTTTAGAAAGAGGGGAAGCAAAAGGGAGAGACAGAAACATCAGTGTAGAGAGAAACATCAACCTTGATCAGCTGCCTCCTGCTGGGGATGGAGCCCACAACCCGGGCATGTGCCCTGACCAGGAATTGAACTGGTGACCTCTTGGTTCATGGGTCAGTTCAACCATTGAGCCACGCCGGCCGGGCTCCATCTTTCCTGAAGTCTGTAAACCCCAAGCACTATTTTCGCTACATTTCATGGTTATGGAACTCACTTCTGTATCATTTTCAAAGCAGAAATACAAAGTCCCATCTTGTGGATTTGGGTTTTTCTCTCCAAACTTTACTTTGAACATTTTTAGACCTGAAAATTGGAAAGAGTAGCACAGTCAGTACCCTTATGCTACTCGCCTAGATTTACCAGTTAATATTTTGTCACATTTGCAGTTATTTCTCCTCCCCCCCCCCCCCCCGCCACTCCCCTCTTTATCTCTGTCTTTTTGCTGAAGTCATCTTAAAGTTAGTTGCCGACATTGTGTTACTTCACTCCTCAATATGCTAGCACTGGGTGGAGGATATTTTCCTACATGACCACAGTGCACTTAAGAAATTTAATATTTATGCAGTCATGCCACCTAATAGACAGTATAGAGTCCATACTAAAAGGTGTCCCAGCGATTACTGTCCTGGGAATGTCCTTTTCAGCTGTATGGTTGTGAGCATATGATCCAGAACCCACTTTTAAAAAAATTATTTTATTATTGATTCCTAATTTGATCACACCGTGTCCAGAGAACCTGATCCATATAATGTTTATTATTGGGAATTTTTTGATGATTGATGCTTGTGACTTTAGTACATGGTCAGTTTTTATATCAAGCTTGGTAATTTAGTTCAGATCTTTTAGGGCCTTATTTATTTTTTCCCTTGATATTTCATTTTATGGTAGAGGTACTGTTTTGGTCGATTTCTCCTGGAAATCATCAGGTATAACACTTCATGTGTGTCAAAGTGATAATAAAAGATACATGGTAATACTTAGAATGTGTTAGGCCTAAGCACTATATTCAGCTAGTGTTTTTTTGTACTGTATAAAATTGATATTGGATGGAGTAGTTGGAATGCTGTGTTGGCAGACCAAGGACATTCATTTACACAGATGTGTGATATAGATACCACATGATACCACCTTCCACAGATAACACCCAGTTAGTAAAATAGTCCATATTCATTTCTGGAAATAATCTACCCCAGGCCTCTGAGGGGTAGTAAATGCTGTTTTCCCTTTAATGGCCTATTTATTGACTTGAGGTTCAACTTGGCATCATCTCTGGGAGGGATCTCCTGAACTCTCACGGGAGAAGCTGACGTGACACGCAGAGATGGTGTCTTCGCCTGGTTTTGTACATACAGGTTGGGGGGGTGCTGGGGAGAACAAAATACTTGAGTGTTGGGCTGCTACGCAGTTGAATCTCCTGAGAAATGGTGCAGAGGTGTTTGTGCCCTTGTGCCTGAGTGCAGCTGGGCCCAACCGGGCCAGCCTCAGTGGGCACCACCGGTATGTGTACTGTAACGTCTGGTTCCATTCTCTGTGGTGCCCGAGCTGGCTGCTGCCTGGGGTTGATGAAATCAGACAGCCTTACTAGGCTGGAGGGAGAGTCACTGATTTAAAAGGGGACATTTGAAAAAAGTCCTGGTGTTCTTAGAAGTTGTTAAGTTTGATTTTTAGCAAATCAAAAAAAAATTGTTTTGAACAGGTAATGTATTTGCCTATATCTAAAATAGGAACTGGTATGCAGAAAAAATCTATTCCCCTGTGCCTCAGTGTCCATCCTTCCCCACCCCCCATATATATGAAACCACTTTTTATTAATCTCCTCATTCTTACAGAAGGAAGCAAGTGTGAATATGTAGTTTTATTCCCCACTCCTCCCCCTGTATTACACAGACACTGTTCTCTGTTCCTGAAGAGCTTCTCTCTTTATTGCTTGAGTCTTCCAATAAAGGAGAAACAAAACATCCTATGTAATAAAGAGCTAATATGCTAATTAGACCAAACAGCCGGACGACCTTCTGGACGAAGCTGGGGCTGTGCGGGCCGGCCGAGGCTGTGAGGGCCGAGCCCCTTGCATGAATTTCGTGCATCGGGCCTCTAGTATTTCATAAAGGTGTGCTGATTAATTTCATCGGAAGTGCTGCTTGGACCGATGGGGAGTGAGATCTACTTGGAATTGATGATCAAAAGTAATAATAGAGTTTTGACAAGGGTTCGTGTTTTAATGAACCTGATTCATAAAAACTACTCTGCCTTTTAGAAATTGAAAAATTTCAAAAATCTCCCAGTGGGTGGGTCTTTGGATTATCAATCATGAAAATGTTCATTTGTGAATCAGTTGTTTAACATTTCACTCCACCTCTCCTTTTTTCTTTTCCCTAAAACATTGATTTAGTTAGTTCTCATCAATATTGCCTATGAAGTGTTCTCTTTTCCCAGCCTGGTATTGGTTTGGGAGGAGTGGAGGGTATCGATTTTTTAAGTCTCGCCATTTTCAAATGCTGTAGCAGTTGGTTTTCCTCGTGTTTCTTTCGTGAACAGGCTGTCTTGCCGCTGTTTTCCCACATGGGCTGATGCAGTTTTTCAGGGTCTCCTATCCACAGAACTGCGTCTACACTCAGCGGTTGCCAGCCAGTGGTCTGCGGACCGCTGCTGGTCCGTGAGGTCCGGAAGGTTGTCGACCACTGCTCTACAGCCGCAGTGGGGCGGGTTTGTTTGACGTGCGGTTGGACAACTGCGGCTTCATATCAAGACAGTGCGATTGTGGGGGTTGAAATCAGGGAGCATTAAACATGCTTTTAAAGGATCCAAGTTGGAATAAATGGTTTTCTTCCCTGGAATTCCTTTCTTCTTTCTTTGGAAGGCTGAAGGATTAGACCCTCTGTAGTCTGTGTCCCCATTTGTTGCAGGTCAGGGAGTAAAACGTTCTGGGATTCTTTAGTGACTCATGCTTAAAGTTGACAGAGAATAATGACCAACATTTGGATGACAAGATGTAATGACACTAACATAACTTTGTTTTCTGAAATCTGTTTCAGCAACTTTACCAGATCCTGACAGACTTTGATATCCGGTTTTATATGTATGAACTACTTAAAGTAAGTGGCATCCGTGGACAGTGAATTCTGTTCAGGCTTACTCATTAAGGGGGGAGTTTTTGAGAGGACAGAGAACGAGCAGGATGTTTCTTGATACCCAGAGTACTTGGAGGTTTTGTTTGTTTGTTGTTTTGGGGTGGGTTTTTTTCCTTGAGGCCTCCATCATGGGTTCTTTACGTAGAAAGTTTCCAGTGGAACTGACAGAGATGGCCAAGTCCAGGGGCATCATAGCGGAGATTAGAGCCTCCGTCTTCAGAGCTCTTATTGCCCTTGGGTTTCCTTTTGCTGCTTAATATTTACTATTGATTTTACTGCATAAGAAATCACCCAAACTTAGCGACTTTTAACAGATAGTTTATTATTTCTCATAATTCTGTGGGTTGGCTGGGTGAGTCTTTTGGTCTGGGAAAACTTAACTGGGCCAGTTGGTCAAGATGGTCTAGGGTGGTCCAGGATGGCCTTGTTCACGTCTGGATGGCAGCTGGAGTAACTGAGGCCTCGTCCCCCAGGAGGCTAGTCTGGGCCCTTCCCGTGCAGGTCTGGCAGCAAGAGTGTAAGTGCCATGTAAGCACTCCTCTGTGTCATGTTTCTGATTGTTGACCAGAACAAGTCACGTGGCTAAGCCTAGACTCAACGGGTGGGAAGTGGATCCCACCTCTCGATGGACGGAGCATTGAGGTCACATTGTGGAGGGACGTGGATACCAGGGTAGCAGGCATTCCTGGCCGTCTCTTTCTTGCCGTCTCTTACAATCCCCTTCTTATATGAGACAACCCAGCTTCCAGCCCTGGCTAGTTAACCTTGACATGCAGGGAGAGTGATGGCTGGACCTTCTAGGAGACTTACTAATCCCAAGACTGAGATTTTCAAGCGTTACTGATTGATGGAGAAGTGCTCTCTTGTAGTTTGTCTAGGTAAACATTTAGGTAAAGAATTCTAAAAAGGTTTAGGAAATGGAGTGGACCGATGTTTCCTAAGTTTTTTAATGTCATGAAGCACTAAGAATCTAATGAAAACAGTGAAATCACTCCAGAAGTGCCTGTGTAAGTTTTAGGAGGGGTGTGGATCTCAAATTAAGAACCTCTGAAAGAACATAGAAGTGACGGAGGTGTTGGCGTTATTGAAAAATGCCAAGATGGAGTTTTGATGGAATTGGGAATCATTGCTTGAACAAAATACCAAGAGTTTGAGGTAGGCCAGCACCCCAAAGGTAAGGTTGAAACCTGGCACAGTGGCCCATAGACCAGGTAAGACATCCAGTGACGCAGGTCTTCACAGCTGCTCATCCGGGCGGCGGCCGGTGTCTGGTGTCCTCTCCGTTTTTCAGGGGCAGCAGCGAGGTGGTAGGGTCGTACTTTCTGCTGACGAGGCATGGAACTCCAGATGAAATTGGGAAAACGTCCTTCGTGCTTAGTGGTCAGAAACGACCAGATTTTAAAACTGAAAGAATTCCCCCAAGGAATTTAAAACCATGCCAGTAGCTCCACAGGGAGTCTGACTAGTAAACTTGGCAAAAGAATTAATCCCCTTTGTGAATTTCCTTTCATCGGGCAAATCTCACATCCCAGGGTGCGTCCTAGTTCATCTGGGCAAAGACTAGGCAAGATAACAAAACCAGCACTCACTAGATGTTCTCTCTGGGGGAGGCGGGACAGGGATGGAGAAGAGGCAACATTTAAACGTTGAAAATGTAGAAACAGGTTGAAGGCTGCCATGATTGCTCGTGACTCACCATTTGGGCAGAGTCGGTCTGGTTCAGATTCAGGGAGGTCTGTCCTCAGGAGCCCTGGTCTATCTCAGAGGCACGGCCACGGGAGTCTTGCTACAGCTTTGCTTTAAAACAAAACAAAAGAGAAAATCAAATTGAAGTAGAACCTACATAAACGAAGTGACTAAATCTTAAGTGTACAGTTTTTTTGGATTTTACCTAAGTGAAACCTTTACCCAAATCTACACAGAACTATGCCGTCCAGAATAGCTTCGGCCTGCAGGTAGGCATTTAAATTAAGTAAACTTCTTAGCTTTGTTATTCACATTCCAAATACCCAGTGGCCTCGTGTGGCTGTGGTTACCGTATTGGACAGTGCGGAGAGAGAGTGTTTCTTTATCGCAGGAAGTTCTGTTGGACAGGGCTGGTGGGGAATGGTATGAAAACCCATAAAGGCTCTCTTGTCCCCCTTCTATTCAGTGTCCCCTTCGCTGAAGATTATAGTCTGACCTCTACCACTATAGTTTAGTTTTTATTTTTAGTTATTTTTCGAGAGAGGAGGGGGGGCGGGTAAAATCAATTTTTGTTGTTCCACCTATTTATGCATTCATTGATTGATTCTTGTGTGTGCCCTGACCGGGGATGGAGCCCACAAGCTTGCTGTATTGGGATGATGCTCTAACCAACTGAGCTACCTTTCCAGGGCAATCACCACAGTTTAGTTTTGCCTGTTTTTGACCTTCATATAAAAAGCATCGGACACTGTAGACTCTTTTGTGTCTAGGGAAAGGGAAATTGGTTTATACCTGGAATGCTGGAGCTAGGGATCATTCCCTGGCTTCTGGCTTCCCTCCCACACAAGGATGCCTGGTACAGTGCCCTTGCTAGTCTAGGCCAGTGGTTCTCAGTCAGGTCCGCTTCGTACCCAGGTCATTTGGCAGTCTGGAACTGTCTGGTTTTCACAATTGGAGGGGTGCTATTGTAACCTGGTATGTAGTGGGGATTCTGCCTGACATCCTACAGTGTGCGGGGCAGCTTCCCGTAACGAAGAATTATCTGGTCCAAAATGTCAGCAGTACCAAGGTTGAGAAACCCTCATCTTGTCCCATGGAAAACTCCAAGAGCCCTCCGTGCCAAGCACAGAGTAGGCACCCTGAGATGCTGGGTTGCTGTCAGTATCACTCAAGGAGGATATTACGGGACTCAGGCAGGCTTCAGGTGCTTTTTAAGACAAGCTAAAGGGCCTACTATTGAAATTCATAAGAATAGTTATATTGTGTAAGAAAAGGGAGGTTCAGGGGCAAAAACTTTTTTTTTTTTTAGTTGCTTAAACATTTGTATTTTTATTGAATTTTTAAAAAATTTCTGCCCAGTTACGACAAATAGGAAACCGCATTTACAATTCACAAACTGTGGCATGAAAAATAACACACATCCCATCACCCATCAGGAATGACACCAAGCCCTTTCCATTTTTCCAGTCATAAGAGTCCATCACACTAGTGTCAGATATGAGCACTGTCATTTTTTTCTTGGAAGGGGAAGAACAATCCTGGCAGCACTTTTTTTTTCTTTTCTTTTTTTAATTTAAAACAAAAACAACCCTCCTCTTCTTGGCGGGGTCTGGCGTGCGGTCCCAGTCCCCGTAATGTATGGAGGCAGAGGGTAGGGGCTCCTGCCCCCTCGGCAGCACGTCTCCGGTGCCAATGGTTTCCAGTCCGCCGGTTCTATCCTCAAGCGCCGGGACACCGGGAAACTAACTAAATAAATAAAACAAGAACAGCCCAAATAAAAAATGGATGAAAGATTTGAGTCAACATTTGTCCAAAGAAGATAAAGGCTGACAAGCACAAGGAAAGATGTTCAACTTGATCACTCAATGAGGGAAATACAAATCAAAACTGCAGTGAGATGCCACTGCAGACCTACGAGAACGGCCATAATCAGAAAGGTGGACAAGGACAAGTGTGGGGCGGATGTAGAGGAACTGGAACCCTCACGCATTGCTGATGGGGATGTGATGTAAAATGGTGCAGCTACTTTGGAAAACAACTAGGGCAGATTTCTTGAAAGTTTAATGTAAAACCTACATGCAATCCAGCACTTGCACCTTTAGGAATCCACCCAAGAGAAATGAAAGCTTGTGTCACCTCAAAGACTTGTACATGAACTTAAGCAGCAAATTCATAAGAGCCAAAAAGTGGGAACCACCCACTGCACCAGCTGGTACAGTCACACAGTGGAATACTGCTCAGCCAGAAGAAAAGCAATATGGGTGAATCTCAGAAACATCTGAGTGAATGAAGATGGAGTACTGTATATTGTATTGTTTTATGAATGTCTAAAGGGCAGATAGATCATAGCAACAGATAGCAGATTAGTGGTTGGGAACAGAGCATGGGAGGAGGAGTAGAGGGCAGAGGGGAGTGGGGATTGAGTGAAGGCAAGCTTGAGAGGAAGGGAAAGGGAGAGAGAGAGAGAAACATCAATGATGAGAGAATCATTGATCAGCTGCCTCCTGCACACCCCCACTGGGGATCATGCCCGCCACCTGGGCATGTGCCCTGACGGGGAATCAAACCATGACCTTCTGATTCATAGGTTGACGCTCAACCACTGAGCCACACCTGCCGGGCTATAATCATAATTCTTAAAGACCAGCTGGCTCAGGGATTGCTTTTAAGGGTAATACTAATATTAGAATGTGTGTTAGCCTAGAAACCCCCCATAAGACACTTACTAAAAAACAAGCCACGCTGAAAAATATATTTAGGTGTCATGCTTCATGTCCACGTGGACTCTTGCGTGTCATTGAACCTCTATGAGAGGTGACTCCGGTGAGGTTCCCAGGTCTGATTTTAAACACATAAAATCAGAACAGATTAATGTCTGATTCCTAAACCCAGGTGGCTAGCTGCAAGTAGGAGAGGAGTTTTTGTATGTTTGTTTGTTAATCCTCACCCAAGGGTATTTTTCCCATTGATTAGTGTGGTGGGGAAAGGGAGAGAGAGAGATAGAGAGAGAGAGAAAGAGAAAGAGAAACAAGGAACCTGCAATCCAGGTACATGCGAGAATTGAACCTTTGACCCTTCAATGCACAGGTTGATACTCTTACCACTGAGTCAAACTGGCCAGGGCTCATTTCCCCCATTTTAAGAAACCGCCGTCAAAACCTTGACGTTGCCTCTTTAGCCTTCTACCAGCTGCCAGCGTGGTTTGCAGAGAGCAAGGGCTGCCTCCTGAGGCCTGTTTCTTCTCTTTTGTTACAGACAGTAAGCTGCCCCTGGGGAGACTATCCAAGTCGAGCTGTCAAGCAAATGCGAATATGATTGCCATGTGGGGGTGGTAGAGGGTTTGCTTACCTTTCTCTGTGCTTTCTTACCTAATAGGCTCTGGATTACTGCCACAGCAAGGGAATCATGCACAGGGATGTGAAACCTCACAATGTCATGATAGATCACCAACAGAAAAAGGTACCATACCAGCTAGGCAGCCGCCAGCCTTCCATTGGAAGGTGTAGACCACCCCCTGGCCAGGACTTAGGTGGTTTCTGGAGACCCGTGCTATTGGCAGACTGGTGATACTGTTATTTCCCAGTCTCCCGGTGTGGGTTCCTACTTTGCATACGTGTAGTACACAAGGAACATAGCCGAGCCTGACTGTACTCACTTGTTTATTGTTGTCATGGTTTTCTGGGGGGCCTCAAGAAAGAAACTGCAGCTGATGGTTTCTACTGCTTCATGACCCCTCAGACCATCTGCCTGGCCTTAAAAATATAATCGATCCCTCTTATTTTCAATGCTCAATGCTGGTCGTCCCTGATTGTTGAGTAAATGAATCACCTAGTAGATAATGAGAAGCTAGAGCAGTGCCTCAATCCTGGAATGGGGCATGTACCTCCACCCTTTCTGTTACAACTACAGCTTATAATGAAAGCTGTTGATGATGGGGGATGTGCTGCCCATACAGGTTGTATGGAGCCAGAGAGAAGCTTAAGCTCTATTGATCTCAAGAGAATAAGCCAGGATAATTTAAATTTTAAAAAAGAAAAAGCAAATACGATTCTGAGTGCCGTGCTCAGAAATGACCTCTTATGCAGTTACTGAAAGTATAATTTTTTTGCCAGTGCACTTGCTAACATTTTTTCATACGGCCAAATAATTACCATTTCCGGTGGTGTGGCCCTGTTCTAAGGCACAGGCATCTAGAAACTCTCCTTTCACATGTTTTATTTCCGTCATATTTGTAGCTGCGACTGATAGACTGGGGTCTGGCAGAGTTCTACCATCCTGCTCAGGAGTACAATGTCCGCGTGGCCTCCAGGTACTTCAAGGGACCAGAGCTCCTTGTGGACTACCAGGTAAAGTGGTTAGCGGAGTGCCGCTGGGCTCTTTTTGTGTTTCCTTAAGGGCTTTTCCTTTTTCCTGTTTTTTTGTTGTTGTTGCTGTTGTTTAAAATATATTTTTATTGATTTCAGAGAGGAAGGTAGAGGGAGAGAGAAATAGAAACATCAATGATGACAGAGAGTCAGTGATTGGCTGCCTCCTGCAAGTCTCCTATTGGGGATTGAGCCTGCAACCCAGGCATGTGCCTTGACAGGGAATCAAACCGTGACCTCCTGGTTCATAGGTCAACGCTCAACCACTGGGCCACCCGGCCGGGCTTCTTGGTTTTTATTGAGTCAGTTTGGATACATTCAAAGCCTGGTCTTTGTTCCATCCCAGAATGATCATGGCTGATTTTCCACAGCTACCTCTTTTTTTTTTTTTTGGCTCAGGAAAATGGAGCACCTGTGACTGACTGCTTGTCCTTATTTCCTCAGATGTATGATTATAGCTTGGACATGTGGAGTTTGGGCTGTATGTTAGCGAGCATGATCTTTCGAAAGGAACCCTTCTTCCACGGACAGGACAACTATGACCAGGTGAGCGACACCATCTGGCTCCTATCCATTTGGGGGCAGATGCCAAGAAAATAGCATCCCTTGATAGGGTGCTGTCCTTGAGCCACTGGTTCTCTCTCAGTGTCCTCATACACGCTTTTCTTCAGGGTGAAGGATTTCACAAAATTCGCCTGCTGTTACCCGGTCTCCAAAGATAGATGACGCTTACCTTATGCCCAACTTCAAAGTGAGCCTGTGCAGTCAGGCACCTCCTTACCTAATAAAACTAGATTCTAGTCACTAAATTTGATGTCCCCAGAATCGTCAGCTTCTAGATGATTCCTGTAGTAGGTTGCATTATTCTTTCAAAGGCATTTTGGAAATCTGCATTCATGTGTGTTCGTGTCCTTGGGTCTGCTGCCCGTCTGCCCGGGCTTGGGTCTGTACCTGGTCCCTGGGGAAGTCGTGGGTGGAAAGTCTGGTTCCCTGTCACAGCGTCCTCACGGGCGTGCACGGAGTTCTGTGCGCGGTGATTTGGTCAGTTTGTTTGTGTTTCAGCTTGTTCGCATTGCCAAGGTCCTGGGGACAGATGAGCTGTATGGGTATCTGAAGAAGTATCACATAGACCTAGACCCACACTTCAACGATATCCTGGGACAGTAAGTAAGAGGGAGAGGAGGGGAGGGGTGTTAACTCACCCCCTGCAGAAGGGGAAGGGTTGTCGAAATCACTGTCCAAAGCTCTTCCCCTTTCTAATTGTATCAAAATCAAGTAGCCTTCTATCCACCCCCGCCCCCCGTGCATTTCTTTAACTTATTTTGAGATATTTGGGCATTGTTTACATGTGTCTTCTAATAGTTTTACTTTTCTAAGAGATAGCCTGCTTATCAATATAAAATTACAATATTACAGAAAAAACGTTTTCTGGCTTAACATATGCTTATTTTAATGGAAAAATCGTAGAAATTTGTGATTCTTTGAATAAGAAACCATTTCTTTTGTTCTCTGTAATGGATTATTTATAAGGTAATTTTAAAGCCTATTTTCAGATAGAGTTGAAAATGTGTTGAAATTTTTCAAATAGTATTTTATGAAACCCATGTTTCTAAGGCCAGCAGCTCTAAATATAATGACTGAGCAATAACAATTTTTCAGTCACCTCTGTGCCTCGCCCAGAATTGACTAAAGCCATCTAAATCTTTTACATCCGAATCAGATGTAAACGTCTTAATGAATTCATCAGTCATGGAGCACTGTTTTGTTTGAGGATCATACAGATGTTAGCAAGTGCACTGGCTGGGATCATAGCTGTAGGGGCGGGGCAGGTAGCCAGAATGAGATTTAAGGAGCTTGTAATGAGTGCCGTACTCTCTGATTTTGTTGGTTTTGGCCCCACTACATAAGGATCTTGTTGAACTTCGTTTCAGAACGCTAATGCTCCCCTTTTCTTCACAGACATTCACGGAAACGCTGGGAAAACTTTATACATAGCGAGAACAGACACCTCGTCAGCCCCGAGGCCCTAGATCTTCTGGACAAACTTCTGCGATACGACCATCAGCAGAGACTGACTGCCAAAGAGGCCATGGAGCACCCGTACTTCTGTGAGTCTCCAGGCGCTTTGCAGAGGCCCCCTTTTTAAAGGAAAAGTTCTTACACCCTTTATCTTTGAGGCTGGTCAAGGGAATTCTAGGTATTTGAATTAATGCCGTTGGAATTCGGCCTCATTAGTTCTAGACCATTGAGACAACTTGGCAGGTCTGCTTCTTGATCCCGGAGGTATTTGCTTGTAGCTCCCTCGAGTCTGGTCTGTTAGACCAGCGGTCTCCAACCGGTGGTCCGTGAGGTCCGAAAGGTTGGCGAGCACTGTGTTAGGCCCTTCCCTGTGGCTGAGTTGGTAGATCACAAGTTTTCAAATATATACTTTTTTCTTGGAAACTAATCAAAGATATCACACACACACCCCCAGCACACACAGAAAAACAAGTAATTAGTTGAAAGTAATGTAACTATTAGTATATTTTAAAGGAAATAAGTTAAATAAATAAAAAGAATTTGCAGAAAGGAAAGCTGGTATGAAAAGACGTCACTAAAATTCTATCTGAATTATTGATTAAGAGGATGTGTATAAATTCCATTTGTGTGGTTGCTTGTTGTTCTGCATGCGTGCAGTTCTCTGCACTGATAAGGCACGTCTCACACTTTATTCTCAGCAGTGTGGGGTGGGTTAGGCCAGTCAGGAGACTGAGAATAAGGGAGGTTAAGAGACTGAGAATAAGGGAGATTAAGCTACCTGTCGCAATTCACTGTGTGAGTTGACCAACACTTTCAGCCTATCTGTTTCCCCTCTGCAATTAACTGAAACTTGCCTGAAGTTGACATCGCTCTTTGGTCTTGGAACCTATTGGCCCATAAGCATTAGAAGAACCTATTGGCCCATAAGCATTAGAAGATAGCAAATTTGAAAGGTCTCACCCTTCAGTGGTCCAGGGCACAGAAATCTATTTCTACCCTTTGAGTTGATGGAATTCAGAGCACTGATGTTTACAATATGTAATTCATGATCTGTCTACTTTTCTGAATACTCATGCTTCTATTTAAAAAAATTTTTTTAGCTACTACAGTGGGGCCTTGACTTACGAGTTTAATTCGTTCCGAGACCGAGCTCGTTAAGGAGCTCATTAATTCAAATTACTCTTATCAACTCAATGCCGAGAGACAGCTGGTATCTCAAAAAACTTGTTAGTCGGGACACTCGTAAGTCAAGGCCCCACTGTATTGCTTAAAATGGTTAGGTCATCTAAATATATGTGTGTGTGTGTGTGTGTGTGTGTGTATTATTTTTAAAATTTTTATTTTTTTAAAAAGTATATTTTTATTGATTTCAGAGAGGAAGGGAGAGAGAGATAGAAACATCAATGATGAGAGAGAATCATTGGTTGGCTGCCTCCTGCACACCCCACACTGGGGATCCAGCCTGCAACCCGGGCATGTGCCCTGACTGGGAATCAAACGGTGACTTCCTGGTTCATAGGTCGACATGAACCACTGAGCCATACTGACTGGGCAAAATGGTTAGGTCTTCTAATGGCTCTTTTCATTCACCCTTTTCTCTGAAGTGCCTATTATTGTGCATGCATTGAAGAAATTGGGGGTTGGGTATGATATTAGTATTCAAGGAAAATAGCACATAAGAAAGTGAGTAGAAATTTGAGCAGTGGGAGATGAGTGTCTGTGCCGCTCTTTGTGAGTCTGAGTCATTGAACTTGACTCTGAGGAAGTATGAGTGCTCACCCTGATCATTTTTCAGTACCTGGTTCTTCTATAACCACATGCTGCCATTTCCCCCGCCCTCCTGGTCCTGCCTTTCCCGGCAGTGTGTCCTCTCTGGCTCACTGTGGAAGGCGGGGCTCGGGGTGATGTTCCCTCCCTCCCCGCCCAGCCTTGCTGACTGGCCCTTTGCCTTGCAGACCCCGTGGTGAAGGAGCAGTCCCAGCCCTGTGCGGACAACGCTGTACTTTCCAGTGGTCTCACGGCGGCCCGATGAAGACTGGAAAGCGACGGGTAATGCGGCATTGATGCTTGCCAATAAAACCAAGCAACACAACACAAACCTTGAAGGAAAACTCCAGTGTGATACAAAGAAATTCTAGTCATTCCTTCTAAACGCAAAGAAGAGTAAAGACCTAAAAGTTTGTCAAAAAGAAAGAAACTCCCCAGTCCTAGTCTCCAGGGCGCTGACGCTCCGGCAGCGAGCGAGACGCTGCCCCTAGTTCAGGATCTGAGGGGCCTCTCCCTGTGGAATGCACGGGAGACGGGAGACTCGGAGTTGTACACTCACCTGTGTTTCACAGGAGACCGCCCGCTCTGAATGTCTGACTTCCTGTCTATTCCACTGTGGTCTGGGTTTCCTTGGGTGAGATTCAGGCTCGAGTTTTAGCCACACGTCAGCAGCCTGTACTGACACACCAGCCTCACTTACGAACAGGAGATATTAAAACAGCGACAGTATTTTTTTTTAACTCTTTTACAAATTCATGTTTTATGTATTTTTTTATGACATGAGCTCTCTAGGAAATGTACCTCAGCCCTGCAGTTTCCTCTAAGCCTATTAATTTGGGAGCAAACTGCAGTCACTCTCATGAGTCCCCTTGGGTGTCAGCAGACGTCACTTTAAACCCTGTGATGCCACGAACAGGTCCATCGTCTCTTCAGAAGTTAGATGCTAAGTGCATAACTTGGAGCTCACTGTAACCTTTGTTGATTTGCCTAACCATAAAATCTTGTTGCTATTTTTTTTTTGTGTAGCTTTTTTTTTTTTTTTTTTGCAGCCTTGTAAGAAAGCCTCACCATTTCCCAGCACACCCCTGTGTGTGCACCTATTTTAACGCATCTCTGAAACAAAGACGTTTTGTTCACAACCATAACTAAAGCTGGGAGGTCGGTCTTTAGACAGGTCAGGGGGGAGAGGGAGGAAAAAGGTTCTATGAGAATTTATTCAGGAATGACCTATTGGGCGAAGAAAAAAATATATATCCCCATCCCACCCCCTTTTTGCCTCTTTTTATCCCCGTGAGAAGTAATTCCCCGCTGTAATCAGGGTACTCTGCATTTCTAAGCTCTGATGGGTAATACGTGAATGTGATGGCAATGACAAGTCCCTCTCGCCTGCAGGTACGTGGGCAGGGCCACCCACGGCCCAGGCGGCGAGGGTCTTGGGGGAGGAAGTGGAGTTCCCGGAGTGAGTAGCAAAGCCTGGGATCCATGTGCCAGCCTTCACGTTAGCAAAGGAAGCTAGATTTTGTTTTAAAAAGTAAAAATAGTGCTGATTTCATTTGGGGGACTTGACATTAACATGATTTGCAAGCAGTCCCCGCCCCCCAGCTGCAGAGCCGCGCCACAGCTATGGGGACTCGCACAGCTAGGCTGGAGCTGGAGGGGTCTGCCACCACGTCACATTAGGGTTTCTTTATTAACTATTTAATAATGCCATACGTTTTTATAAGGGTAGATTGTTTGTTTGAAAGCATCTGTTTACATTCCATATTCCAATAAAATCATATTGGTATTGGTAGCAGGTCCTATCTCTAAATGTAGATTCTATTTTTGTCATTTGGTTGGTGGGAACTTGAAATACAAATAAAACTCTTATTTATAGAGTTGAGCTTACAGATTAAAAAATAAGATCCCAAAGCCAGGAAATGAATCCCGCTAAGGTTCTCATACATATACTACCTGCCTGCATTGCACATTCTGTGTATTAATGTCTGCATTTGTTCTGTCTGAAAATGAAAGACAAGGCACAAGCTCTTGGCTGAACCTAGATCACCGTGTCAGGCAGTAAAACTCTGGGATTGTCGGAAGCCTTCTCACGGGCCCTCTGAGGCAACACGGAGCTGTTGTTTATTTATCAGGGAGATGTGCCACTGTGTGTCTTTCCTGCCCCGCCCCTTCGTTCCCACGCTCTCCTCCCACACCTGTAAGTTGCCTGTCTGGACCAGGCCGGGAGCCGAGAGGAGGGCTTGGTGAGGTAGTGACCAGTGGGCCCCAGAGGCAGGACAGCATCTGGAGCAGAGCCGGCGGTCACTTGTCCTCTCTCTCCTTTGCTCGTAACTCGGTAGGTGCAGACGCTCACCTGCCTGCCCTGGCTCTGCAGCCGCCGCTTGGACAGGAGCAGTGCTTCCTTTATGCACACAGTTTCCGTTGCTCCCACCTGTCCTTTCCCTGTCTTCATGCCTTAGACATGCGGCAGGACGGAGTTTAAAACGCCCACTCCTTTCTCGTCTGGCCTCGACCAGCTTGCTGGCTGCTGCCACTGTGGGTTGTGTTTTTCCCTAAACAAGTGAGTCCAGTCCAGACCTTTTCTCTTAACCTCTGCCCAAACCATGGTGTGTCCACATGGACCTGGCTCCGCTGGTATTTGAGAGCATGTCCCCGGGTTAGGAGGTGGTCTTGGAGAGTTCTGAGAAAGAGGGGTGAGTGTGTGTGCGTGTGCGTGTGTGCCTGTGTGTGTGTGAGTCTAATATTTAGACTAAGCTATGGTAGATCTACCCACCCCCTATCCTTTTCAGTTAGCTATATTTCTTAATTCATCTCAGTAATTTTCATTTGATATTTTGTTTGCTTCATTACCTTATAACAGGTTAAAAGTGCCTATGATAAGGACTTATTATTTCCTAAAGAAAAGCAAAAAATGTGGGGAACAGGGTAGTGTTACACTGTCATCTCAGGTACTGCCTGTGTTTAAGAACATAGATGTGGTGCGGTGAGGAAAATGGCTCCTGTGCGATGTACAGGCGGGTAGCACAGTCTGGCCCCGCGAGCAGGGCTGCAGGGGTTCCTCCAGCTGAGGCGGCCGCGGGGAGGGCAGAACTGCCGATCGATCTTTTCACCTGTGGTTCACTTGCAGTTCACTCTCCCCTGGGTCATATCAGCTGGCCTGCTCCTGTCCCCTCCCGTCCCTGTGGTAGGGGCTGGGCGGGAGCAGCCGTCACATGTATAGTGCAGACCAAGCATTCGTGGGCCTTCTCACAGTGAGGCGCGTGCCGAGGCCAGTTCTGTGGGCACTTAACCGGTACTCACTCGCTGGGTCTCCTCACAGACCCTCTAGCACATCGGTACTCACGAGGCTCAAAGCAGATGTTTCCCCTTGCAAAGAGGAAGGTGCTCAGACGGATTCATTAGAGGAGACGGCTGAGCTGGGGATCCTTGGGGCTGGGAGAGGCCGGGCCAGCCGGCTGTTAAAGGAGAAGCTGAACCAGTAACAGTCGAAAGAGGGAATGTGACTCCTGAGGGGAGAGGACCTGGGGGCACAAAGGTCATGTTCTGGGTGCGCCCTGAGGCGGGCACTCCCCCTGGATTGGTGCCAGTGGGACCACAAGGTGCTCTCCAGGCAGATGCTGAGTCCCAGTGAGCTGGCGGCGGGGGCTCAGCCTGGGCCTACTCAGGGAAAGGACAGGTTCTCCCAGGTGCTGCGTGGCTGAGGATGGGAGCAAAATTACTTTGGGACACAAGCAACAATTGGAGGAGTTTTTGTATATGCACTGAAGTGGATCTAAGAGCCCAGTTAATATATCCTTTAATGCCAGGTCAGAGGAAATGGTTTGTTTAGAAACCTGCATTACTGCATGAGCACCCACCGGGAAAGCAAACCCCCCTCCTACCATTGAACAGGAGTGGGTACCAACCTGGCGGAGTCACGGAGATAGAAACCTTTTTGAAAGCAAAAGCTGGGTCCACACGAGCACACAGGAAGCCAAAGTTTGTCAGCGAGCTGAACTCTAAGACGGGAACAGGGAGGGGAGGTGGTGGGGAAACACCAGCTGAGAAAGCCAGCCATGGCATGTGCTTCTGAGCCACATGGATGTGTTGATGAACACGGCCCCACGCAGGCCGTGAGGTGAGGCGATGGGGCTGTGCAGGTGGGCAGACTTTTGTGTGGAGACTCAACCATGTGCTACAAATGTGATACTTAATTCCTGAACTACATGTATTGAGGATTGTTTTTAAAAAACCAACTTTCATTGACTCAATAAATTAACCGTTTTTTCACTTGCTGGCTTTTCGTGCTGTGAATGGTGACTGAGAGGTGGGGACAGGAACTTGGCACCCCGTGCAAAGCTTGGGTAAATCAAGACCCCTGGAGCCGACTCGCCTTCCGTTTGCCAAAAAGCAGCGCCCCCTGGCTGCGATCCTTACAGATGACCACGTCAGACACAGGGGTGGCCCCCTAGGTGCATCACTGGATGCTGATGCACGATTTCTGTGCTGCAGCCCTTAGCGGGAAGAAAAACGCCCTGGGAAATCCTATTTTGCTTAAATAAAGATGTTGGTCACCCACCTTCCCCAGAGGGCAACAAGCCCCTGCTCTGCGGACCTTAAGCTTGTGTTTCCTGTCTCGGGGGAGAGGTGGGGTCACCCTGGAACTGCAGAGATGTATGTGGTGGTGGCAGTAATCCGCTCGGTGTGAAGACAGCGGGAGGCGTGTCGGCGAGGGGACCTATTGCTGGTTCTTGGTTCTTGCTTCTGAACTGCACCCCTCAGACACCTGCTTCTTGGGGCTGGCCTGTTTTCTCCCCCAACCTGAGCCTTCATGGCAGTGCTCTGCGTTTAGGAACGTCTCCCCACCCCGTTCCTTGCAGCACTCGCGGGCATGTGCTGTTGTTTGGCAGACGGCGGTGTCTTTAATTAATGTTCTTTTTCTCCCCGACTGGTCCCTCTGTGGCGTTGGATGCTTGGAAATCAGTTTCTGAAGCGCTGAAAGGCAAACTAATTTCTTACCCGTATGCACCACGTGGCCTCAAATACTGAGCAGTAGAGCTCTTTACCCCGAGTTCACGGACCGATGTTCCTGTGACCGCCGCCCAGGTGCGCAGTCCTTCCCCTCGGGGCTGAGGTACCGTTCTGAGACTCAGAATTCTGCTGGCATCTCGCCTCCCACCCCACTGCGCTGGACATGGGAGGAGGGACGGTGTTCAGGCCACGCTTTCGGGAGAGTAAACACGGCGGGCAAAGGCAGGCTTACAGCTGTGAGCACACTGCCCTTGTGCCATTCTTTTGAGTTGATGAAGCTCTTGTAATAATCCTAACCTGCACGTCTTTTTCCATACGAACAGCTGTAAACCTACTTTGCTCACCCCTGTATGAGCCAGTTCCCCAGAGAAATACAGTCCTCTAACTCTTAGTCCCACGCTGTCTTCAGTGACGTGGATCAGATCTGATGGGGCTCCAGAGGTGGCCTGCGCAACTTGTGGCCAGGTTCCCACAGGACGGTCAGCGTCCCGGACCTGAGAGGCGGGGAAGAGACTTGGTCACCCCCGTGGTGTCCAGAACTTTCCCCTTGCTCTCGCACAAGGCCGTGCAAAGGCTGCCTCTTGATGGTGGTCAGAAGAGCAAGTTTGGAAAGGGTACCCCTCCAAACCCGATTTCAGGGTCTCCCTAGGTTTCCCGCAAAGTGGCACAGGAAAGGCAGGCTTGCACACACTTCCCGGCCCCCTCCTGGAGGAAGCCACGGACAAGGGAGGCCTGTCCTCACTCCCGGTCAGATTGATTAATGCGTCTTTCCCCTCCTCCCATCTCTTTCCCCAGGTCTGTTGCGGTTCCTCTCACTTTTCCATAAGCAGAACAAGAACCAAATCAAACGTCTTAACGTGTGTAGAGAGATCACGTGCCGTGAGCAGACACAAACGGTGGCGGGTTTGGCGAGCACGAACTAGACCAACCGAAGGGCAGCCCACCACCGTATATCAAACCTCACTTCCGAATGTAAAAGGTTCCCACGCCTTTGGCTTCCGGTTGACTTCCTCCTGACCCAGAAAGCATGGGAAATGTGAAGGGTATGCAAATGGTTGTTGGTTACTGTTGCTCCCCCGCGCCCCTGGACGGTCCCGTGGCCGCCTGGTTTCCAGCAGACCACAGACTCCGCAGCGGGGGCGCGGGGGCTTATATGGCATGATGGGCAGTTACATATTATAATTTTAAAAGTATATATTATTGAATAAAAGGTTTTAAAAGAAATGTATGGAGAGTTTTCAGTATGGAAGGGGCCATTCACGGAGACCCATGGCCAGACGGCTGAGTGACACACAAGAGCATCGGTGGCAGGTTCTGGCCAGAGGACAGAGGGGAAGTCCCACAGGTGGAGAGGCAGGAGCTCAGGATGCTCTCTACAGAGACGAGAAGTCGAGGAGGGGTGCTGAGCTCCCCCTGGGAAAGAGGCAGCGGATTCAAGGAGACTTGTGAGCCCAGAAAGCCAGGCTTTGCCTCACACACGCATTTGGCCTCCCTCGACTGGTCCTTGCAAAGCAAGGACCGTGATGTAGGCGTGCCGGTGAAGTCAGGAAGGTGCCTTAGCCCCTTGGCGTTCTCTTTGCTCCTGTCTCCATATTTATCCCACCTCCCAATCCTGTTCCCTCTCCCCAAGCCCCCTTCTAAAATAGCATCTTACCTTGGAGGATGGAGGCCGCTGTCCTGAGGCAGGGCAGGGAACGGGCTCTCAGGTCCCCATCCCGGGGCTGTTTCTGGTCGCATCAATAGGATGGCGTGGAAGCACTGGCTGTATTTATCCAAGGAACAAACTCAACCTGTTTTACAAACAAGGCTTCCCTGGCTCCCTCAGTCCTCCCCTCCTAGGACAGCTGTGTCACAGCCTGGTGTCTGGCGGTGGCCTGTGCCCTCCCACTGCCTATAGAGAGCAGAAGCGACAGGCAGACCCCAACGCCCAGGCGGCTGGATGCCCCCCACCCCCGTTCTTCACAAAGGCCACGTGGTCCGCATAACATCCTCTCTCCAGTCTTTGCTGCTTGCCCGGAACAGGTGACTGGCAATCCAGGTGTGGACACTCACAGTTCTTGAAGCAATTATGGGGGGAAGCAAAGAGGCCCTTCTGCCGTCACAGGGTCACAGTGTCCCCTGGGCCAGCTTCTGTCGTATCCAAGCAGTTCCTCAGGTGTGGGAGCTCAAGACCGTGCGTGCTGCTGGACACCAGCGAGTGAGGCCCGCAGGCCCACTGCCCGCGGACTGAGGCCAACGGGCCACCGAATGGATGGACTTAATACTTTCCAGCTCCAACACCGGCCTGGGGTCCTCAAGCAGTCTCTCTCACGAGGCCCTTTTGGACTTACAGTTCTGCAAATTTCGGTTGGTCTCCCAGGTCTCCGGGACACCATCTCAAGACCTCCTTGCCATGATCATGTCCCTGGAACTCCTGTGGACGTGGTGCTTCGTGTGCGCATGTCTCTCTACATAGCTTGTTACCGCCGTGCTGACCGTGGGGTTGCAGGGCTGCTGCCAGGAGGAAGGGTCTCTTCGGAGCAGATACATGGTTGTTGGCTTGGGAGTTCTTTAGATGCCACGCTGAACTTGAACTCTAGCTTCGTCCTCCAGTTTCCCTTCTCGGTGTGAACATGTTTTCCAGAAACTTCTCAACCAAGAGAATCTTGTTTTTCGTGGATGTGCTCGATGGGAGAGTGGTTGTAGAAAGAAGGAGAAAGAGGAGGGGTTTTGTGTTTAGTGGTTTTGGCCTTGAAAAAAGGGACAAGGAACCTGCTAACTCAAGAGCAGTCTACTGCCCATCCATGATGTGCTCAGAAATTCAGAACATCAAGTCACGTCTTTCAGTCGTCCTGCTTGTGTCTGGGTTGTTTAATACTGAATTTTCTCGATTACCAAAGTAATACATGCTCATGGTAAAAACGTCATGTTACAGCAAAGTACCTAACGAAAGCCTCTCCCCACGCACATGCACCGGCATACAGAAACGTAACCACGGTGAAGTTTGGCATGTACCTTCCAGTTTGTTTCCTCTGCATTTACTAACATTTCAAAACGACAGTGACTTTTATTTTTACAGAAATGTAATCAGACTCTACATTCTTTTTCTGCAATTTACGTTTTTACTTAATTGTGAAATTCCTACTGTGAGCACATATAGACCTACCTCACCCCTTTTCGTGCCTGCATAGTTTCCCATTATGTGATGTACCACAGCGGAAGCCATCGCTTACTGATAGACTCTTATCAGTACTATTACCAGTCAGTATTGCTGTGATGAACACATTTGCACATACATTTTTTTTTTACACAGTATGTATGTTTGTGAGATAAACTCTTAAAAAACTTGAACTCCTGTGCCATATGATTTTTTTTTTTTTTTAAGAAAGGGCATTGTTATGATTCAGAGAAAGTCTTCCATCCCTTCTCTCACTGGTGTGGGTTGGAACCGTGATGCCTTTAGTGGTGGAATCTTGTGGGGTTCTATCAGATTTGGGGCATGGCGCCCAGGGCCTAAGAATTCCCAGGGGCCTACAGAAATGTTTTCGATCGACCCGAAAAAAAAACAACAGTGTTGGCTCTAACATAAGAAAGTTGTAAGATAAAAATAAACGTGATTAAATGTCTTTCCAGTCCTGTGAACTTCATTAATGGTTAGATTCAATATTTGCTTTACAAAGTATTTTTCTCATGATAATTAGTGAAGAGTCGGACAATCACAAAATCAAACAATTTCAAAAGCAAATTCTCAAGATCTTTTCAAGGTTACAAAAAAGGGTTATCTTGAATATAGAAAATGGCTGCCTTTGAATGCATTCGAAATGCTGTGGAGAAGCCTTCAAAAGTAAGCATGCGGAGGGCCGGCCAACTTGTTCAAACACCCCTGGCCTTTGGGGGTTGAGCAGTGGAATGGATGAGCAACCCTTTGCGGAATTCTCCACAAACTGTGAAAATAATGTGCATTTCAAACGCATTGTGCTAAGAAGCCAGACTCAAAAGTCTACCTACTGAATGATTCCGTCTATGTTACGTTCTGGAAAAGGCAGAACAGTAGGGGTAGAGAACAGACCCATGGTCACCAGGGGTGCAGGGGGCGTTGGAGGAGGGGAAAGGGTCTGGTTACGAAGGGATAGCATGGGAGGATTTGGGGGGTGATGGAGCTGTTCTGCATCCTGCACACGGCAATGGTTACATGACTCGGTGCCTTCATCAAAACTACACACCAAAAAGAGTGCATTTTACTGTAAGTTTAAAAATCAATTTAAACATAACAATAATGTGCAAGGGCCCAACCAAGTCCCATTTGAGCTTCACTCTCACAGTTGAAGGAGCCTCATCTGCCCACCACTGGCTCCTTTACTTGGTGTTGTCAAGGCTGGTGGTGCTGGGGTACAGCCACTGGATTCGGGGGTCCTCCATCTGCCAGCTGAACGCCCCAGCCATCGCTCTTCTCCCCATCCCCATCAGCAAGGAGGGGTAAAGAATAAACTTGGCCTTACAGTGTGTATCAAGTCCCGTGTCTCAGAGGCCGGGCGCTCCGAGTTTCTGGGTTTGGATGGACATGAACAGACGCTGTCCACTGGGTTGTAGCATCTGACCAGGGCTTTTGTGCACTGAATAGGATTCTTATAGTTGCTGGTGTTTTACGTAATATCTCAGTTATTAAAGTTGTACATTGAAAAATCTCTTGTGTCTTTGAAATCAATTTACAAATCTTGTTATCATTACAAACTAGGTGGTTTTATATATAAATATGAACACTGGCTTAATCTTTGATCAATGCTGGATTAATTAAAAACATAACGGGTTAAACCATAAACATGGCTCCCACACAATCTAGTTTCCTTAGACATTTCAGAGTCACCCACACATTCAATCTGTTTGATGTGCACAAACACTTCCAATAGCTAACATGAAAGACCAAAATTCTGATGCAATCTTCCTAAGCATCCAAACACTAGACCAAAAAATGTTAAACATTCATCGTTGACAAATTTAATTACATTTCCTTTGACACTTTTAAATTAAAAAACCACAGAACTAATTTCAAATTCCTTGAAGCATTTCAAATTAAATTGGAAGTATCAGATCCTCTAATACTTTAAGTTATTTTAAATATTTCAAATATCTTTAATAAAAAACAAAATGTCACAATAATCAGAAACTTTCCCTCATCTGATGTGGATTACTGATATGGGTTTGATTTACTTGCTGTAATTTCTTGGTGTATTTTGACACCCCACCAAGATGTCATATTCCATCCAAACACAGGACTGTGGTTTGTTCATGGTCAGAGATTCTGGGCCGGGCACGGGACTGGATGCTACTTCTGTGATGGTTCAACCCGGACTTCAGGCTAACAAACTAAAGCCCTTCTTGTAGTCATGGGATTCTCAAGACCACCCTTATCTTGCACTTCTTGCAATTACTTTACCTTTTCTGCAACTTTTAATGGCCTGATGTGTATCAGTTGAGCTTCTGTACCTACTGCCCACATTGCAATTTTGCTGCCTCATTAGATCTTGCTTTTTTCATTTATTACTTTTAAAAACTGACTTGTATAATTATTGCAGGAAGCAACTTATTAGCAAGATTTTTCTTGTGTTCAGCCCTTACACATCTTCATGTTGATGAAGAGAAAATGATCTTGAAGACATAGTGTTAATGTGTTTCTTTGAGTGACATCTGTAGTTTTAGGTTATTTCAGTCTACATTACTTTTGAAATGAAGAAAAATGTCAAAGTGCACATTCGGCTCTAGTTTGTTCGTTCATTCATTCATTCATTCATTTATTGTGTGCCTGTCATGATGGCGGTACTGCATCTGGAAGAAGCATGCCAAAATTAAGTCTACAATAGGAGCAAAACATGTTCACTAAACACTAATTCATGTTCTTTAACCCTTTCACCGAATAATCTTTACTGTAGCCAAGGCTTGTGATCACAATAAGTTGTGAACCCTAACAGAAGGAAGAACTGAACACAGTTCATGTGGACACTCACTGAGGATGAGTAGTTAGGAGAAGCAAGCACTTTCATTTCTCCCACCAGCTTGCTCACTGATGGGCTGGCTATCTGCTCAGGGCACTTAAGCCCGTTTCCCCCTAGGTCCTAGGGCCTAGGATATTTTGAGAAATTTAATAACAATCAAGGGATAAATTGTTCACTGGCATAAAGTAGACAGAGTCCCCAGAAATAATTCAAGAATAACAGTTTCATATAAAATGTTTTGACTTTTTACTGTAA